AAAAGCTGCATTCAGAGTTGAACCTACAAGGCTGACGAGCTGGATTCCACAATCCAGGAGTTGAAAGACATGATTTCGAAGGAGCTGGAGGAGGCAAACCACTTTCGTGTCTGGGGATCGGGAATCTGATCAGATCCCGCAGTCTTCAAGCGAGGCACATGTATCCGTTCGTAGCCAGGTGCCTTCCGACATACATGCGGCTAGGGCACATGGACCAACTCTATGCAAGAAATACCGTGAGAACATGATGGCAGCTTCGTCGCAGTGACTATGAGAAGTGTGATGCTCCTGCCATAGATGATGGGTGGACAATGTTCTTGGCGCTGCGTTGATGCTTCGCATTAGTTCTGCTCACGTTGCAAGCTGAGCCCTCAAGTCTCGTCCAGGTTCTTCCCAGTATGTTTCAGCCATGTTGAAGGATTTCCAGAATGCACCTTCAAAGGATGTCAATTGTGCAGGCAACCACGGCGGTCTGCATCTTTTACGAATCGGATACGTCAGTATACATGTAGCATCTTTCCTCATTCGGGAGTTGGGTTTGTTTCTCCGAGTTCCGGTCAGACGGTGTTGCATGGTTAGCTGGTGGGTTGCGTGAGCCTATGCCAGTTGGTTATCGTGCTTTGCCGGAGCCAGAGGCAGATCACACGAAGCTTTGCTCAACCTGCTCCGGGCTTGTTATGGGGCAGACATGGGACCTGGGCTTTGCGGCCCCTCACGGACCCCAGCTCCGCTGCTCCTCGACCTGGTGCCGAACTCTAACACTTTGCGCAGGAGCACATCTTGCAATGGGCGGGGTGGCAGCAAGCAGGTGTGCACCTTATCACATTGCGGGGTGAGCAGTGGGATTGCCAGCTTGAAGGCACTTCTTCCTGCTACCTCCTTCGCCGCAGCTGATCCTCCTACTACATCAAATCCAAGGTAACAGCCTGATGCTATTCGCACGCTGTGGGTGCAATCGCACGCGGGGCGTCATTGTGGAAGCTGTGGCGGCTCTAAAACCCTGTACCAACCAAAGCCCGAAACCTTAAACAATAACAGCTCTGAACCCTAAGTATACACCCCAAAGAGCCCCCAGCCCTAACCCAAACAACCCCTACGAAAGAAAAACCAAATATTTACTTCGAGCTTCACCACCCAAAAAAGCCGCGATTGCACGAGAAATGTATTGTTTCCTGGAGGATTGGGGGCAAGAACGCTACAGAGTGGGGTGTGATAATGATACCTTGAAAGTTGTTGCAAGTGTGCGCGCAATTTTTTGCCCCTGCCCGTCCCTGTTGGTGCCGTTGGTGCACGCATAGCAGTCGGTGGGTGTAATTGGCGAAATCAGCAAAAGTTAGCGTACGCTGTTGTCAATCAGCAAACAGCTACGCGCAACTGGCACTTTGTGAGCAAGCCGAAGGAACAAACAGAGTCATGAATTGTGATGTAATGTTGCGTTGAAGGCTTAGGATTTTTCGATTGGTGCCTTTACAACAATGACAAAATTCGGGGAGACCTTTTGTATAATTTTTGAAGCTTGATGTTTGAGCTCACTGGTTCCTAAGATTAGGTGGCAGCTGAGTTTGGGGAGTATGAAGAGTTGTCACAGGAAAATCTCTTGCGACTTTGAGGCCCTTGCCACGGTGGGAACCCGCTTGTCCGTTCTCATGATTTGCGCAACCCCTTATCTGTTTTGATGCCCGCAACTGTGCTTAAGATCCCAGAGCTTAAGCTGGTTTTTTTTCGGCAGAAGGAGCTCACGGACTACCAAGCTCTCATGATCTCTCATGTGCAACATGTGTCCAGACTCGTAGGTCATAAAAGATTACGGATCTGAGGAACAATCAGTTGTGCAGTTTGGCCGACACACGTCAGCGTTTTTCAGTGTTTGTAGCAGATGCCGTGGGGAAGGGGGTCACTTTTGACCCCCTTCTCCTGGGGGTTGCTTGCGACTTCTTAAACACGCGAACTTGCAACACGTCTCAGCAAAAACGCCTGGGGTCACTTTGATTTCTCTAGGGTAGGAAAGTCCATCGCGCTGTTGAGCCAAGGGCGCCTCGACTTTTTTTTGACCGCTCTTTTTGTGGAAGGAGGGCAGGAAAATGCCCCCGAGTTGCTTCTGAGAAGAGTTTGCATTTTCGGAAGGAGCCAAGACAACTCTTCCCCACTTTTGCTCCGAAAAAATGGAGGAAAGTCCTCTCTAACCTTCTCTGGAAGGAGTGGGAGAAATCCCCTCCACTCTGAGTCCTAGTCCAACCGACCGTAGGAGGTGCCTTATGCTCTTCGCGTCTCGCGGCCTTTTGCGGCCGTCGCGCCCGTGGCGCCATTGTCGACTTCACGGGCTTTGCGCCCTTCGCGCGCTTCGCGCTTTTCGCGCCCTTTTCACCCTTTGCGCCCTCCGCGCCCTTTGCGCGTTTCGCGCGTCGCGGTTCATTTGCGTGCTTGGCAAGTTTTGCGCTTCCTGCTCATTCGTGCCCTTTTCACGGGCTTCTCACGCGTGGCTGCTTTCGTGGACTTCACGCTGCGCGCGCTTTGCCACTGCGCGCGCTTCGCGCCCGTCTCACTCGCGCACCCGCTTCCTTCTTGTGCCCTTGGCACCGCTGGTGCCCTTTCGCCCTTTGCGCCCATCGCCCGCTTGCCGCGCTTCGTGTGCTTCTCATGCGGGGTGCACTTTAGGGCATGAAGTGGGATCCGCGAGTGTCGAGTGCTTGCTTGCTGCTGGTGTGCGCTCTTGCATTAGGATTCCAGCTGTGTTGCAAAGTCAGGGAGGATTTGGTTGAGTGTGATTGCTCGATGGGCTGCAGGTGTTGCTGCAGTGCAATTTTTCTTTCCCGCCCGCCCGCCCGGGGGGTGCTTGTCCAGCGACC